TGTGTGTGTGTGTGTGTGTGTGTGTGTGTGTGTGTGTGTGTGTGTGTGTGTGCGCGCGCGCGCCGGAGGTTGCACGTTTCCGGGCTGTCTCCCAAACGCTCGCTAAATTCACACTAGTGCGGAAAACACAAACACACTCATCAGGCCCGTCTATGCAGACGGTCGTGTTTTAAGGCTTGAGCCCACAAAACTGATCGTCTACAGGCCCGACGATGCGGGCACTTGTCTTTCATGATTTAAATACATTAAAACTATTGAGTGTCCTGTTGGTCAGCCTCTTTTGAATATTTACCAAAGCACTGAAAAATCGATGATTACCGATGTCATCAGGCCCGACTATGCAGCCAGTCAGTGACGTTTGGCGGCTCAAGTACGTTCACGTTGCCGTCACACCGCGCCCGAGCGTGCAGTTAGTCGTTGCTGTTTTCTGCCTCAAGAACACGAAGACGATTCTCAGGCCCGACTACACAGTCGGTCAGTGGTGTTTTTCTGCCTCATTTATTTGTAACGGGGATAACAAGTACGCGGTCGTGCGGCCAGTTGGAGTCAGTACGGGAGCATTTTGTCCCGGTGTGCCGCTACGCAGTCAGTCAGCGGTGCTAGCTAGGTAAGGTGCTGTGGGTACCGATCTCGCCGCGCGTGCTCTCGTCGTTGAGCGAGCCCAGCGCAATGGCGGGCAGCAGGATGGCGATGTACAGGAAGATGGCCGTGGTCATGTACTTCAACAGGGTCTTGTTGTTACCCACGATGCCTGTAGGGGGGGTAGACAAGCACACGCAGACAGCCACGCACAAAATCACATGTCCATGTAGCTAACAGGCATCAGGTAATGAAGTTTGGATCAAATTTCCCATCGTAAGAATTGTTTAGAATCATGTCTGAAGACCGTAGCTAGTTAGCTCGTGACTTGTCAATCCGTAGCGATGCCGACCGATTATCCGAGGAGCACAAACTAATGTAGCTAACGGGCGCTTCCTTATGCGCAGGAAACAGGATAGCCACCGCGGGTTAGCATCGCCTTTGGGCGGATCGTTTGGCTAACAACGGCTACTGCTGCTAACGCACAGGAAGCAGGTTAGCCACTTGAGTGAGTGTCCATTTGGGACAGATTATTATTTGGAGATCACAAGATAATGTGGCTAACAAATACCCGCAAAGGCAGCGGAGGTGGGTTAGCATCATATTTGGGCAGATTATTTGGCCGACGCGACATCAGGTGGCTCGCGAGGCCTCACCAACGCGCCGGAAGCGGCTTTGCCCTCTTGTTGAGTTCCTATGAGCATCCCGTTGCATATTCACGCTCCGGGCGGCACAGGTTGCACACGGACACGGATGGGCGGGCACATAGCACCGTCGCCTTGACGTGCCGCTATTAGCGTCAGGCTAATGCGTTTGTCTGCCACGCAGATGCGAAGCTTTGTTTAGCCGAGTGAAACTGAGCTCGGCTTGAGGAAAACAGGCGGCGGGCGAATCGTACCATCTGTGAAGTCGGAGGCGTAGAGAGGAAGGCGGCGACACAGGTCCTCGTAAATCCCACGGCCGGCGAGGAAGAAGTCTGTACACTAGGAACACGGAGGGGGGGGCTTGTTGTTAACGAGGTCGGCGCGACCCGACGGTGCAGGACGACCCGAGCGGCTCGGCGCCGTCGACATGGCAACTAGCGAGTGAGGGACCGAGGACACCCGCAGTTTTCTTGGAGTTGGACGTACAGTGTTTATTTCGAGTGTATCATTGTTTGGAATAATTACATCTGGTGGTGGCGGTTGTGGGTTTTGTTTTTTTGTTTTTTTTGTTTTTAGACAAGGATCGTGTTTAAGAAACTGCTTTCCAGTTTTACTTCCTTTTCAAATGAAATCAATCAAGGCACATTTGAATGATATTTTTCAAGGAATGAATTGTGCCATCTGTCATTTGCGATCGTGGATGCGCTCTCGATGCTTTTTTTTTTTGTTTTTAATTACTTTAGATGACATTGAAAAATTGAAATGAATTCGGTGTCTTCTCTACACAAATAATAAGGTTTCATTAAATGACTGTAGCTGATTGTATTTTGGGAACGAAATATATTCTAAATATGAAAAAAAAAAAAAAAAAAGTAAAATGTCAAAGGGAATTTAAAAATAAGTCAAATAAAATGTCTTCTCATTCTTTTCATTTAATTGACTTTTGGCGGTTTTTAATTTTGGCACAAAAACATCCATGAGGTGATCATTTATTTTATTTATTTTTTTTAAATTGCGCCCTCCTCTTCATCTTCCTTCCTTCCTTCCTTTTCTGTTCGTTGTTTTTTTGGGCCTGAGGAAGGACACCCGACATGCTTGAGTGGAGGAAACACACGAGCGGAAAAATGTCTGCGAGCCCTCAACTGTCAGAAGGGCGTGCGTGTGTGCGCGTGGGCGCATGTGGCAGGGCTGTGCGCTAAGCGGAAGCTGATCGATGGTGTGCAGAAGAAGAGAGGAAGAAGCCCGGACAGTTTCAGGAGCCCTTTCGCACAGGTAGGCTACAAAATTGCCGTGGTGTGCAGAAGAAGAGAGAAAGAAGCCCGGACAGTTTCAGGAGCCCTTTCGCACAGGTAGGCTACAAAATTGCAGCAAGTTGGCAAAAATATGGACATTTTTTAGGTGTGTACAGAACGGGGGAGAGAAGGGGAGTGCACCAAATCTGTTCAAGATGTGAGTTTGGGATTTTTTTTTTTTTTGGACATTTTTTAGGTGTGTACAGAACGGGGGGGTGCACCAAATCTGTTCAAGATGTGAGTTTGGGAATTTTTTTTTTGTAGTGTGAAGGTCGGTGCACCAAAGGTGTCAAGTGTTCGAAAGTTGGCGAGGACGCATAGCTTCAAAAATTTCGGAAATGTCACTAGCGAAAAGGGGTGCGAGGAGCCCTTTTCCTAATGTTTGTCACATTACAATGTTGGGGGGCGGAGGGGGGTGCATCAGGGGAAAGGTGACATACGTGTTACTGTACATGTGGAATACGAAGTTGGGATTCGAAAATGACCAAAGGCAAGCGAATGTGCGTGGGGGTGGAATGGGGGAAGAGGCGCGCTGACCTTGAGGGGCTTGTGTCTGCGGGGGTCGGTCTCCTCCTTGCCCACGGCGGTGGGCTGCTGGTTGGCCGCCGTCAGCTGGTGGCGCTGGAACACCAGAGCCTCCTTGAACTCCTCCTGCGTTTTGGTCTCCAGAAGCTTCTGGCGGAAGGAGATGTCCGAGAAGAGCGTGGCGAACGTCCTGCCCAATTCCATCGCCGTCTTGGTGCTCTTCTGCGGGACACAACGGTTGCCGACCGTCCGGATTAACGTGCGGGAAAGCCACGTTGCGACCCCCCTCCCCGGTGAAATATTCTAAATCAGCTAAGTGACGAATCGTCTTCGGCGTCACCGCAGAGTTGGCGCACCTCCTTTTCCCCGATGCAATTTTCAAAACATCCCCCTTGAACACACCATTGTATTTCAGCTCAACCACCCCCCCCCCAAAAAAATTAACCCCCTCTCCCTTGCACATCCACTGAATAAAGTCCAAAGTTTTTCGATGCAAACGGGCGCTCTTCAAAACCTCATCAGAGATTATCCAGGCCCTAGCAGACCCCCGAAAAAACTTTGGAAGTCACATGCCCATTTCAACACGCTGACACAGCCGGCGCACTCCCCCCCCCCCTTGCTCCCCATGAAAGTTCCCAAACTTTTTTTCAAAATAATGCACATCCTGACAGGTGTGGCCGCGCCCCCTGGAAATGTTCCCCCGTTTTCAGGCACGCACACCCTTGAAAACACGAACACAGTCGGCGCACCCCCTCTCATCACCCTCCATTACCAAAATCTCAAAAGAATAAATAAACCGGAAATCTTATGATAAAAAATGTGAATCATACCACTATTAAAAAGAAAGAAAAAATATAAAAAACATACAACCAATAGAATAACAAAAATATAAAGTAACATTTAAAAAAAAAAAAACAATCAGCAATAGCATAGCATATGAAAAAAAAAAGTCAACAATCATAAATCTGCACCAAGGTAAAAGATAAATTGGCACAGTTCAATCTTACCATCTTGAGCGGCCCCAGGACCAGGATGACATAACGGACCTCGCAGCAGTTCTCCCCCCAGTTCTGAGGCCTCTCCAGCCGTGAGATGCACACGTGGCGGCGCTGGAGGTTCTTCAGGTTGCACCTGCGCGCGCGCACAAGAAACGGTCAACCTCACAATACAAGGAATCTCTCCCTCCAAAAAAAAAAAAAAAAAAAAAAAAAAAAAAAAAAAAAAAAAA